GGCTCGCTCCGGGAAGTACCTGCCTGTGGGGCGGACCGGGGGTGTCGGCAGAACCAGGCCTGGGTTCTGGGATTAGGGGGAACCGAGCCGCGGTTGGTCAAAACCCGTGGGGCCTGCCGTTCTTGGAGGTCCGATACGGAGCCCCGAACTTGGAGTGTGAGGGTCCCCGGGGTCGGGCTCGGGTGGGGGTTCTGGGTGCAGCCTGGCCCTGGGGAGCGGGCGGGGGTCCTGACCGGGTCCGGGAGTGAGGCTGGGCGCGGCGAGGCGTTGGCGGCCGTGGATGGAGAAGGCGGGGGTCCCGTCCCAGCCGCGCTCCGTCATGCGCGCCGGCACCAAGTAGCCGGGTCCGGGGCTGCACGAGATCTGCTGCCTGGGGAGGCGCAGGCCGAAGGTGAAGGCGGGGGCTCGGGCCCGCGAGGGTCGTGCAGCACGTAACCTGCGGGCGACCCAGCGTCACCGGGTCCGGCCGCTCTGGCCCGGGCACAGCCCCCCCCCCCCCCCCCCCCAGAAAGGAACTTCGGGTCTCCAGCCCGGGTACAGCACCCCCCTCCCGGCACAGACCTCGGCAGCCTTTCTCCCACCCCACCCCCGCAGTGACGCGCGCCGGTACCGGTGTTGGAGGGCAACTTGTACTTGGGCCCCGGGCCCCGGTATTGCGCCGCGATGGGGCCGCGGGGCCGGTGCGGTCGCCAGGGACCGACCCAGAGGTCCGAGCCCATGGCGCGGTGGGTGCTCTACGGCCCGCAGCACCTGTGGACAGAGGTGGGGGGGACACACATCCCGGCAACTCCAGGGGCGAGTCAGGCGGGGCCCCACCCGTCTCCCAGGCGCCAGGAAAACACAGTAGCTTTCCCAGCTGGGGCGGGGGGGGGGCTACCCCAGCTCCGTGTGTGTGTGTGTGTGTGTGTGTGTGTGTGTGTGTGTGTGTTGGGAGGTATCCCAGTTCTGTGGGGGGCGCAGGGCTTCGAGGCCTTCTCCACCCCCCACCCCCAAACTGAGTGAGTTTAGTGTGTGTGTGTGTGTGCGCGCGCGCCCACGCCAAGTTTGGACTCAGCACCACCGAAGGGAATTCCCCGGGGTTCTGGGGGGCTGCGGTGTGTTGGCGTCTGGGGAAGATGCCGCAGCAGGGGAGCGGCACCGGGACCGGGCGCCTGGAGGGGTCTGAGGTTGATGCACTAACCTGCTCCTGTGGCCACTGGCTGGGAAGGCAAGTGGGTGCCCGGGCCAACTCCCAGACCCCATTGTGTCCCCTCCCGCCGCCTGGCAACCCGGCGGCCTGGCCCCGCCCCGCCCCCAGCACCGCCTCACGCTGGGCCTCTCCTCCTTGGAGCCTGGCGTTGGCCGAGGACCAGCACGCGGGCCTCAGGCTCCCCCGGCTTCATACACCCATTCCAGGACAGACAGATATTCAGATGAAAAGCAGGTATGAGAACAAAAAACTTTAATACAATCAGCAGGCTCAGTTTATTATTATGTGTAGAGAGAGAGCGTTGCATCTATTTAAGCCCACAGAATATTTGCAAAATATCATTATGTGCCAGGCCACACATACATACACACACACACACACACACACACACGCAAATTGAATAAAGAGAAAAACTAGGACAGATGATTTGATCGTAATCCAAAGCAATTCTAAACAAACAGTAAAATGTTAAAAAAACCAAGAGAACTTAAATAGTTAGAAAATAGCAAATTATCTTTTAAAAAACCCTGAATCAAAGAAAAACTCAAATATAAAGTTTCAAAGTAAAGGGTGTCCCAAAATTCACCTAAGAAGTAATTTTGATAGAAAACACAGGTTTATAATTAAAAATTGTAAATTTTTTATTGATTCATAAAGTATACAGTATAGGGTTATGTATGGAATAGCATATCGGGTAAATGGATTATCATGTCGAGACAGCAAGCACCATTAACTTATTGCCTGAGCAGCCGCATTTTCAAAGAAGAATGGTCCGATGATGCCTCCAGCCCCAAATCTGCACCAAACAGTGACACGTTGTGGATGCATTTGTTTCTCAACAATCACTTGTGGATTTTCTGAACCCCAAATGTGACAATTTTGTCGATTAACCAAGCCATTCTTCTTTGAAAATGCGGCTGCTCAGGCAATAAGTTAATGGTGCTCGCTATCTCGACATGATAATCCATTTACCCGATATGCTATTCCATACATAACCCTATACTGTATACTTTATGAATCAATAAAAAATTTACAACTTTTAATTATAAACCTGTGTTTTCTATCAAAATTACTTCTTGCGTGAATTTTGGGACACCCTTTATATGTAAAACTGCAAAGGTGCATGCCTTCATACTCTGCTCTATAGGACATAGCTAAAGCTGTGTTCAGAGGGAAACAAAGTCTTCCTTGATTTCATTATTAATGAAGAAAAAATTTAAATAAACATGTTACAAATATTAGAAAAAAGAACAGTCAAGTGCACCGTTCTTTAGATCCAGAAAGAATGGGTCTATTCTGCCCAGCTTGGCACTCTCCCACCAGCTCCTAGAGGAGAAAGGGCAGGAAGGAGTGTCCAGTAGTCTGATAGGAATTCCTGGCCTTTGTCAAGTGAGTGCTGAGCCCAGGGTGCCAGCCCAGGAGTGAGAACCAAGATGGATTGTGGTGACTGGCCAGCCAGCTGCACCTTGCTCCCCGCCTCAGGGCAGCCTGGAAATGCAGGGGATTCACACTCCATGGGGAAGACCTTTAAAAAAATTTATTTATTGCCCTAACCAGTTTGGCTCAGTGGATAGAGTGTCGGACTGCGGACTGAAGGGTCCCAGGTTCGATTCCAGTCAGGGGCATATGCCTTGGTTGCGGGCACATCCCCAGTAGGGAGTGTGCAGGAGGCAGCTGATCGATGTTTCTCTCTCATCAATGTTTCTAACTATCCCTCTCCCTTCCTCTGTAAAAAATCAATGAAATATATTTTTTAAAAAAGTTATTTATTTACTGATGAGAGAGAAACGTTGATTTACTGTTTCACTTATGTATGCATTCATTGGTGCATACATGGTTGCTTCTTGTATGTGCTCTGTCCGGAGAGTGAACCTGGGCAATGCTCTCTAACCATCTGAGCTACCTGGCCAGGGCCAAGGGGAAGAGCTTTGATTGGATTAATTCTTCCCCTAAAGGACAATACTGAGAAATGACGAATTTATTTGGCCTCTTGGAGGCTGATCCCTTGAGAAGGAGCAGCTGGCACGCTCAGTACCCAGTAGTGGCTTCCTCTCCCTCTCCCTGGGGTCACACCGTAATCAAGCAGTGTTCAAAGTTTCTGCCTCAGCTTTGCTTTCCTAGGAACCCAGGCTTAGCCAATTTACTTTTCAGTCTTTATTTAATTATAAGGACATTTAAAACTATGGTCATGAGTCCTAGCTGGTTTGGCTAGATGGACAGAGGGTCAGTCTGGGGACTAAAGGATCCGGGTTTGATTCCGGTCAAGGACATGTACCTCAGTTGCAGGCTCCTCCCTGGCCGGTGCAGGAGGCAATCAATCGATGCGTTTCTCTCACATTGCTGTTTCTCTCAGTCTTTCCCTCTCTCTTCCACTCTCTCTAAAAATCAATGGAAAAATATCCTCCGGTGAGGATTAAAAAATAATAAAATCAATAAAAACACATTTTTAAAAAACCCAAACAATTAAAAAAAATAGCCCTGATCGGTTTGGCTCAGTAGATAGAGCGTCAGCCTGCAGACTGAAGGGTCCTGGGTTCGATTCCGGTCAAGGCCATGTACCTTGGTTGTGGGCACATCCCTAGGAGGGGGTGTGCAAGAGGCAGCTGATCGATGTTTCTCTCTCATTGATGTTTCTAACTCTCTATTCCTCTCCCTTCCTCTCTGTAAAAAAGCAATAAAATATATTAAAAAAATAAAACTATGGTCATAGGTTTTTAGGAAATGTGGTTTTAGTTATATCTGTAGTTTTCGATACACAACATTCTTATTGTTATTAATTTTTAAAAATAGCTTGGCTATTAAAAATGAAACTATGAGCATCTTTGTGCAGGTGTTTGTGTAGACATTTCGTTTCTCTGGGATAAATGCCAGGACTCTATTGCTGGGTGGATGGTAACTGTATGTTTGTTTGTGTTTTAAGAAATTGCCAAACTTTTCAGAGTGGTTGAACCATTTTGACGTTATGCTGCTGAGAGTCATCCACATCAAACTGGAATCGAATGGGTGACCTCTTGGTTCATGGGTCGATGCTCAACCATTGAGCCACACAGGCCGGGCCTATAGTACAGTTTTAAAATAGCCACTTAAAAGTTTATATCCGCTCAGATTACATACATTTGAAAGAGATTTCTGTGGCCCCTTCTGTAACCTTGAGATGTTATTTTGGAGGATGGTATGCATAGCACCTACCACCAGAGGGCGCTCTGTATACACTGCGCCACCTGGCCCCCTCCTCTTCCCACTGAAGGTAGTTTGTCTAGTTTTAAGGTTTATCATCGGGGAAATATTTTGTAATATGTGACAAGGAAGAGATACCATTTTCCTTTTGATGTACTTTGTTCTTACTTTTCATAAAATTTAAAACAAATACATATGGTGTGTATGACTTCTACCTTCAACATTATTACAGGAGGCCTCCTCCTCCTCCTACTCTGGTACCAAATACTTCTAAATAAAACACTTGATTTTTTTTCACAACTGTTATTTCTTGCTTTGCTTATTAATAAATATGGGTTGTTGATGCTGACCTAATGATTCTTAATTTATAAATTGTTGCGACATGAGTCTAGACGTTCCTTCCTGCTTTAGGTGACTTAGCTGAAAACAGACTCATCTGGACAGAGCCAGTCTGCGAAGAGACAGCAGGCCTTGACTGAGGTCAGTGTCCTGTTGCCAGGACCCTTGTATGCACACCTTAGCTCTCAGGGAACACACTCCTGAGGGCTGTTCCCAGGCCTGAACATTCTGTAATGCATTTCTTGATACTTGGAAAAACTACATATGCCAAGTCCCTTTGGTGGAAACATACAAATGTATGTGATCAGTGCTCCTGGTCACCCTCGCTGTTGGGACCTTACATGGTTCCGTTAGAACATCTACGACTGCCTATGATGCAGAATAATGACAGTGTGAGGACTGGGTGATAATATTTGTCATTTCAACCATTTGTAAGGGCACAATTCAGTGGCGCTAAATACATTCACAACGCTGTGTATCCATCACCACTATCTATATCCAAAATTTTTTCATCATCCCCAACGTAAACTCGGTACCCATTAAACAATAAGTCCTTCTCTCCTCCCAGTCCCTGATAATCTCTAATCTACTTCCTGTCTCTATGAATTTGACTACTCTAAGTACTTCATTTAAGTGAAATCATACAGTGAAATCATTGTCTGGCTTATTGCACTTAGCATGCTGTGTTCAAGGTGAATAGCTGTAGCACGTGTCAGAATTTCCTTCCTTTTTATGGCTGCTTCAATTTATGTACATGCCACAGTGTGTTTATCCCCCTGTGGATGGACATTTGGGCTGTTTATTCTTTTTGACTATTGTGAATGGGCAGAGCTAGGAACGTGTGTGTACATAAACACATTTGAGTACTTGTCTTTACTTCTTTTAGATATATGCCTTAAATTGCTGGGTCACATGGTAGTTTCATGTTTAGCTTTATGAAGGCCTGCCAAATTATTTTCCACAGTGGCTGAACCATTTTACATTCCCTCCAGCAATATGTGAGAGTTCAGGTTTTTCCACAGTCTTGCCAAAACTTTTTTTAAATAGATGTTTTTATTTATTTCAGAGACGAAGGGAGATAGATAGAAACATCACTGATGAGAGAGAATCATTGATTGGCTGCCTCCTGCACACCCCC